AGAGTGCAAGGCTCTGAGTTCAGGCTCCAGTACTAGCATGTGTGCACACATGTGCACACACACACACTCACTCATTGTGTGTATGTGTATATACACTATACAGTGTATAAGTATATACACACATATATATATATACATAAATATGTATACACACATTTAAACTTTAAGCTGCAGGAAGAAATTTTGTTGCTTGGTCTGTTGGTTCAAGTCCCATGAAACAATACTGAACAAAATAGAATCAGCCTTAATAAGCCTGTACATGGTAATTTATGACCACTTCCTTGTTTGCTTAGGTCTTTGCTTTCTGATAACTAAAATTAGGAACACAGTCTAGTTAGAGCCTCAGAGAATGGGAGGAACAAAATGTGATATCCATTTTCTAAGATATATACTGTACTAAAGATAATGAGTCTGTGTACAACTCAGTGTTGGAAATGACTCAAAGGAAATGCAATTACTAGAAACAACAATTGAGTATGGCCTCAAAATTCTATAGTCTCCAAGGAACAAAAATTGAATCACCTTTATAATTTCCTCTAATTTTTACATATTATGGTTACTGAACAACAACGTACCCATACTCATACTGCCATGAAATAATTTGCAAATGGAAAGAGCTAACCTGTTACCTACAGTTTTCCCTTTTATTTACTTCACCTTTAGAACAGAGCTACAACGTTGCTGGGAGTGAGCATTACTTGTAATTGCCCAAGACTGTAGTTGCTGATATGGAGAAGATGTTTTTTTGTCACTAGGCAGGGATCAGGGAGCATGCGGGAAGTGGCTGGAGTAACTTCAGGGGTACATTGCAGTATCATCTCCAGATTTAGTGGGGACCTATCTTGGCCAGGCAAGCACATGACCTTCCTACCTTTCCCCACCAGGATTACCAACTGGACAGTAGCACTGTGCTGGCCTCCCCACTGGTGAAGCGCTTCACCTGGACTGAAAGCAAGCCCGTGGCCTCGCTAAAGATGGAGTAAGGAAGCTGCATGTCTTTCCTATGATTATTGAAGGGGAGGTGTGGAGGAAGATTCTTGCGATGTTGGTTAATAGAGGGCTCTAGGGGGTTACTTGCCATCATGAACAGTAACATTTAGACATTATATAAAAGTACTGTTCTAGCTGGCACTGGGTGCTCAAGCCTATAATCCTAGCTTCTCAGGAAGCTAAGATCTGAGAATCAAAGTTCAAAGCCAGCCAAGGCAGGAAAGTCCACAAGACTCATCTCTAATTAACCACCAGAAAACAGGAAGTAGTTCTGTGGCGCAAAGTGGTAGAGCGCTAGCCTTGAGCAAAAGAACTCAAGTCCCATGATCAACAACAACAAAAATGATGTAAATAAAATGGTGGCTCAAGTATATTTAAGAAATATGAACAGCAGAGCTTCATAAAGTCAGTTGGATTGACCAGAAGCTGGGCACTGGTGGCTCACGCCTGTAATCCTAGCTACTCTGGAGGCTGAGATCTAAGGATCACAGTTTAAAGCCAGCCCAGGCAGGAAAGTCTGTGAGACTCTCATCTCCAATAAACTACTCAAAAAAGCTGGAAGTGCTGCTGTGGCTCAGATGGTAGAGCACTTACCTTGAGTGAGGGTGGGGGGCGGGGAAGAAAAAGCTCAGGGACAGCATGTTTTGTTTTTATGGGGTTTTTTGGTTTCTTGAATTCAGGGCCTGGGAGGGATTCCCTTAGTTTTTTCACTCAAAGCTGGTACTCTACCACTTAAGCCATGACTCTACTTCCAGCTTTTAAGATTTTTATTTGATTGTAAAGATGCTGTACAGAGGGGTTACAGTTACATGAGTAAGGTAATGAGTACATTTCTTGTGGAGCATTGTTACCCCCTCCTTTGTTGTTCTCCCACTCTTCCTTCCCTCCCCTACCTCCCTTCCCCCCCCACTTCCAACTTTTTTTTTATGTTAAATTGCAGATAAGTCTCACAGACTTTCCTGCATAATCTGGCTTTGAACAACTATCGTCAGATCTCAGCCTTCTTGAGTTGGTAGGATTATAGGCAAAAGCCTAAAAGACCACAGCATAAAATGGTGACTGCTTTTTTCTATGAATGGGGGCTGGGAAGGTGGCTCAGTGGTAGAGCGCTTGCCTTGGATGCATGAGGCCCTGGGTTCGATTCCTCAGCCCCACATAAGCAAAAAAGGAAAAAAAGCCAGAAGTGGAGCTGTGGCTCAAGTAGTAGAGTGCTAGCCTGGAGCTGAAGAGCTGAGGGACAGCGCCCAGGCCCAGAGTTCAGGCCCCACGACTGGTGGACCCCCTCCCCCCCCAAAAAAAAGAAAACCACGAATGGTTATCTTCTACTATGAAAACCATAGACCGTGGGTGTGCTAGTCCACAACACACTAGACCAATTAGCACGGTGTATGAAGTTCTCTGCTTCATCCCAGAGCCTGTTAAACAAAAACGACAAACAAATGTGAAAGGACTTTCTTCCCCACATACGTAACTCAGGTTGGTTGTAGCATTATTGAACCTACACTTGAGTCATGCTGGCAAAATAGTCTCAGTAACACAGAACTCTTTTAGAATATAATGATGAGGAGGGGACAAGTGTACTGAATTTTGAGTGTGATGCTCTGAGTTTCTTGAGACCACTGTAGCAAATTGCCACCGATAGTGACTTTAAGAGAGGATTTTTTTTGGGGGGGGGAGTGGTTGTGGGTCTTGAACTCAGGGCCTGGGTCCTGTCCTTGAGCTTTTTTGCTCAAGGCTAGTGCTCTACCACAGGAGTCACAGCTCCACTTCCAGCTTTTGGTGGTTAATTGGAGATAAGAATCTCACTGACTTTTCTGTTCCAGCTGGCTTTGCACCATTATCCTCAGATCTCAGCCTCCTGAGTAGCTAGGATTACAGGTGTGAGTCATTGGTGCCCAGCTTTAAAGAGAAGGCTTTATTTCCTTGCATTTCTGGAGGCCAAGATCAAGGTGTCAACAGGGCTACACTCTATCCAAATGATCTAGGAGAGAGTCCATTCCTGGCCTTTTCCATCCTGTGGTAGCTTCTGGCACTCTTTGGCTGGTGGCTGCATCTCAGCTCTTTGTTTACAAGTCCTCTCTGGGCCTGGCCGTGAGTCTCCCTCTGCCTCCATGTGATTGTATTTGGAGCTCATTTTAATAATTCAGGATAAACTTCTCTCCCTAGCACTTGGCCTGTCTTTTGTCACATTAAGGTTGTATTCTTCACACATCCCAGGATTTGACATAGATATTGGCAGGAAGGAAGGGACTTTTTCTGCCCATAAGAGCTATGTGACCCACAAGTAGGAGAGACTTAATTTCCATATAGATTTGTATTGTCTCAAATTCCATCCCCAGCTACTGGCATGTCTCTTTCTGTCTAGAATCCAAGTAGCACAAGGAAGGCAGTATGCAGTTTTACAACAGGAACAATCTGATCATAGATTGAGATTCCATAAGAGGTATGGACAAATGACCCAAACAGGAGGAGTGGGAATAGGCACTAGTGGTTCTTCACTGAAATCCTCTAGCTATTCAGATCTGAGGATCACAGCTTGAAGCCAGCCCAGTCAGAAAAATCTGTGTGAATCTTGTCTCCAATTAACCAGGAAAAAGCCAGAAGTAGAGCTGTGGTTTAAGCGTTGAGTATTCAGCTTGAGTGAAAAAGCCAAGTGAGAATAAGGCTCCACTACTGACTCAGGCATGTGTGTGCATGCGCGGAGTGAGGTTTAGGGTTTTTGAGAAACCCATATGATTAATATCTCTCTCTCTCTCTCTCTCTCTCTCTCTTAGCTTGAGAGTTACCGATAAAAGCAAGGAGTCAGGTCTTTCCGACGCCACCAGGCCCAGCTTCTGCATTTCCAGTTGTGGCCACATCAGATCTGTGCATGACAACCTGGAGCCAGGAAAGGAGGAGTTGTGCTGCTCGCCACCCCCAGACTACAACTCAGTGGTCTTGTACTCCTCACCTCCTGCCTAACACTTGACACACACCTTCTTTCTAGAAGCACATGTGTATCCACACTCCCCAGAAAACTAGTTTCTGTCAGTATTATGCATATATGAGTTTACACCTTTTCCTTATCACAGGAGCCAGCTGCTTTTGACAACTTTAATAGTGCTTTTTAATGTTTTGACTAACAAGAATGTAACCCCAAATAGAGTTAATAGTGACAAGAGAAAGAACACTACTCTCCATCATGTTATTCCCGTTAGAGAAACTCTTTCTAAGCCCAATGACTCACCTGCTCCAGCTCCCAAGGGATCAAGGCACACAGGACAGGGGTCAGGAGATGGAAATGCACTGATTGCTCTGGCAACCTTGGTACCAGACACAAGCAGCACAGGAACTGAAAGGAATCACACACACATTGGTGTAGGCAGTGCCTCTGGAGTTCTCTAGCATGCATGAGAAAGGGAGGGAGAAAGGAAGGAGGAAAGGCAGGGGAAGAAGCAGAAGAGGGTTCTCTTGCAGTGTCACCTCCATGATCCTACAAACCTGACTACTGACAGGGCAGAAAGGAGGCGACATTTCCTGGGTTCTGGAACTAAAGCAAATCTTTAAAAACTACCTATGGGACTGGTTCTATTCCTATACCATGGCTCGTCTTGATTTTGTAGCACTCAGGTGGTACTCTACTCTGAGCCTACCACTGGCTTTAGTGAAATACACTGAGAACCTATTAGAATTGGATGGCCTGATGTTAAGTGTGATGCTCATAGGAAGGTAGGTGAAACCACCTACTGATTCTATTTCAAGTACTGATTTATAGCTAAGACATTTTTCCTTTAGTATCCCATTTGCACAGTAGCTATATAGGAAGCTGGAGAGAGTGCAGGTGCAATCATGTAGCGGGTTTTCTGTGTCCAAACTAGATCAGATGGAATAAACCCCAACAAGGCAGAGTGGAAACTCCATCTATACTAGCTAAAGCAACTTATCCAGGGAGTTGGGACCCATAATGGAGGCAGTCATGTTTTTCTAAAGGGGATTCCACTGTCGCATGGAAGGATGTGAAGAATATATACAAGAACATTAGTCAATGTTTATTAAGCACTTTATATTCCTTGAGAGAGAAAAAAACCATGTGATGCAGGATATTATATATCAATGCAAGAGATTCCTACAGTTGGGACCTGGCATACTAGTCAATAAACCATCAAAAGAAGGAAAGGCAATTTTCATTAGCTTTGGACCTGGCCTTGGGTCTGAGGATGAGAGCAACAGGAAACAGGGTAGAAATAAGGAAACAGGGTAGAAAAAGGGGACCTACTTTCCGTGGTCTCAAAATTCAGTGGGCCCCAAATGCCTACGCTGACTCTGTTGGATATTATCTACACAAGTTGCAGCGAAGAGAGAGAAAGTATCTGCTGAGCAGAGAGCAGTGAACTGCTGTTTCTAGAGAATGCTTTCTGTGAAGCGTATCACTTCTCTGTAGAACCTGGACTCTGCGACAGCAGAAAGAAGCCCTCCTTCCCTTTGCACTACACTCTAGTGCAAGGTTCTTTGTAAGACATGGGAGAACCGGGCACGGGGCACCGGTGGCTCGCTCCTGTAATCCTAGCTATTCAGGAGGCTGAGATTTGAGGATCACGGTTCAAAGCCAGCCCAGGCTAGAAAGTCTGTGGGACTCTTATCTCCAATTAACCACCAGAAAACTGGAAGTGGGGCTGTGGCTGAAGTGGCAGAGCACTTACCTTGAGCTGAAGAGCTCAGAGACAGCACCCAGGCCCAGAGTTAACCCCCCCCCCCCGCCCCCCGACCAACAACAACAACAAAAAAGACATGGGAGAAGTCAGCATCCTCCAGTGAGACAGTGGGTGCCCAAGGTGGCTCTCAGGTCTCCTTGGCCAGGATAGAAGCAGGTTTCTCCATAATGAATTGAATTCAACACAGTCAAGTAGAGTCAGAATTGGGGATGGGGAGTAAGAACTCTTGGACCTTTCTCTTCTTTCCATACACAAAAGTTCCTAACAACCAGAAATAACACGACTCAGATAACAAGGATGGAGGTTAGACAGCAAATGAAAGAACCCAGTCCTCTACTTCTTTCAGCTAGATAAGGATCCAACTAGTGATAAAAAGAAAACCTTAGCAATCCTATGATACCTTGAGTTAAATGATCTAATTCTTAATCATTAAAAATCTTCAATAAAAGCCCCTTTCCAAAAAAAACAAAAACCTATTAGGATACTGTTAGAATATATATTCTGCTTCTTTAAAGGAGTTCCATCAGCCGAAACAGTGGTACTGTCTGAATCTTGGTGTAGACAGAAAAGTGAGTGGGTCTGATGGCATAGTGCTTGTTTATCAAAACAGCATTGAAAAGCTCTTACTGAACATAATAATAGGACTATTTGCCATTTAAGACAAAAATGGGTGGCACCAATGAACAGCATATCAGTCTAAGCCTTATGAGATAACCTATGTGTAAAAGAGAATGGAATGGGAATGAATGCTTGGACAATAGTTTTAGACCAGGGGGGCAAATTTGTCCAAATCTGAAAATGGTTGCTTAGGTCTTTTGAGTCATGCCTTGTTTCCCAGTCTATAAGAATGTCAAACATGAAGTAGATACTTTCCAGCTCCATTTAAATTGATGAAAGGAGGAGGAGCATCTTTTGACTGACAATGGTAGTAACTGTGTGTGTATGTGTGTGTGTACATTGTGCATAATTATTTAAGGAAACTGGAATTTAAAAGTTACTTTTATACAAATCAAGAATATATGCTACAGATATGAGATATGATCTGGTTCTGCCTTCCTAGTTATGATGAATGTATTTTGTATATTATCTTCATATAATAAAAATTAACTAAAAGCATTCACATAGTTTCTCTCCCTGCTTTGATTATAAGTAAAAAAAAAAATGGGTCATAGATTATCCCTGGGGGGTGGAGAGAACTGGTGTTCTAGGAGACTTCATTGAATACCAAGTGCATGTGTATGTGTGCACACCCACGCATGCATACACACACACATACACATTGATCCTGAGGCTTCAACTCAGGGCCTGGGCACTGTACCTGAGCTTTTCTGCTCAAGACTAGTATTCTGCTATTTGAGCTAGAGCTCCTTTCAGTTTTTGGGGGGGTGGTTAATTGGAGATGTCTCTCCTGACTTTTCTTCCTGCCTGGGCCAGCTTCAAACTATGATCCTCAGATCTCTGCCTCCTGAGTAGTTAAGGATTACAGGCATGAGCCACCAGTGCCTGGCAAATATCACTTACTAAGCATGGCACAAGATATAGCAAACAAGCATTGCTAAAGAGAATGCAAAGACAGAACTTTCCATCAGTATGATGAACAGCTGCTTTAAGCAATGGGGACACTGCAAACTACTAATACAAACCAAAATCAAAGTAGGTAGATTGTCCAGAAAACCAGACACTAAAATAAATCAGATAATGAAATAAAGCAAGCCCTAATGAGCACTAGGCAGTGCTCACTCATACTGATAGCAGTGTCCTCAAAAAGAGGCAGTCTTCCCTACACACTAATTTTCTGCTAGTAAACAACACAACTGTGGCATATGTGTATGAGCATACATGTGGATTAAAGGTCATGTGCAAAAAGGCAAACAAATAATGGGCAAAAGCATAAAACAGAAATCATTCCCTCTTATGACAAATGCTTCAATAGAATCATCTATTTCATTTCGTGGGTTACATTCTTGGATGCGAAAAGCCCAGGTGGTAGCTGGTAGCTGGTAGCACATGCCTGAGATCTCTTGGATCACGGTTCAAAGCAAAGCCGGGGAAGGAAACTCTGTGACACCCTTATCTCCAATTAACCACCAGAAAACCAGAAGTAGTGGTCTGGCTCAAGTGGTAGAGTGCTTGCCTTGAGCTAAAGAGCTCAGGGACAGTGCCCAGGCCCAGAGTTCAGGCCCCATAACTGACAAAAAACAAAACAAATCCCAGGTGGTAACTACCAGTATAAATGACCACCATTTTGTCTTAAAAAGTGGCTATCCTTCGACTAGGAATGCGGCTTAGTGGTAGAGTGCTTGCCTAACATGCATGAAGCCCTGGGTTTGATTTCTTTGTACCACATAAACAGGAAAGGCTGGAAGTGGTGCTGTGACTCAAGTGGTAAAGGGCTAGCCTTGAGCATAGAGAGGCCCGTGGGCAGAGTCCAGGCCCTGAGTTCAAGCCCCATGACTGGCAAACAAGACAAGAAAAAAAATGGCCATACTATCAATTTGATTGACAACACAAGAGGTTAATCTGGAAACACAACAGAAATGAAAATGGGCCTACTTTATTCAGGACAAAGGTGAGAAAAGGGATAAAAGCCTAATATCTGCTGGGCTGCTCAGGAGACTAAGCTCTAAGGATCTCAGTTCAAAGTCAGACTGGGCAGGAAAGCCTGTAAGCACGCACGCACACATGCATGCGCACGTGTACACACACACACACACACACACACAGCTGGAAGTAGAACTGTGACTCAAGCCTTTAGCACAAAAGCCAGGGGACAGCACCTAGGCCATGAGTTCAAGCCAGGACTGGCACCAAAAAAAAAAAAAGCCTAATCTCATAATCTCAACAAATTTGAAGAATTAGCTAGGAACTGGTTTCTCATGCCTATAATTCTAGCTGCTCAGGAGGATGAGATTGGAGAATCATGGTCAGGAAAGTCTATGAGACTCCAAAACATAAAAATGAATAAAAGCCAAAATGGAACTGTGGCTTAAGAGGTAGAGTGCTATCCTTGAGCAAAATAGGTCAAGGACAGCACCCAGCCCTGAGTCCAAGCTCCAGGATTGGTACACACAGACAGTAATGAACAGAAGTTAACTGAAGAGGGTAAAGGGCATTTTATCTTCAAGAATCTGAAATTCTCTTAAAATGCTGGTTTTCACAAAAGAGTAAAGGCACTCATTTGGGCAAATGATTTGAAGAATGTTTGAGGAACCAGCATCACATCCGAGTGTTAAAATTTTTCTCATGACTCTGGGAACTTACAGCACATTTGGGAATTTATTTTTTTCTCCCACCACTGAAAAGATAGCCTCATAAGGGTTATTGGACTTTTCAGTACTAAACACATTACCAGATTTGGGGATTTCACATGTCAGGAAAATCTGAAAATTATTTAACACTTAGCCAGCTTTCTATTTTGTGAACTAAAGATATTTAAGGAAGGAAAAAAGAAAACAAAAATCAGCCAGGTGCTGTTGGCTCATGCCTGTAATCCTAGCTATTCAGGACACTGAGATCTGAAGATAGCAGTTCGAAGCCAGTCTGAGTAGGAAAGCCTGGGAACCTTATCTCCAATGAACTAACTGACCCACCCTCCCCGCAAAAAGCTGGAAGTAGAGCTTTGGCTCAAGTGGTAGAGCACTAGCTTTGAGCAAAAAAGGAGTTCAGGGATAGTGCCCAGGCCCCGAGTTAGTCCCAAGATGACAGTGCGTGTGCACATGCACACACAGTTCATATACTGAACTAGACACTATTACTATCCCATTTCTTCATCTGTTGTTCAGTGGGCTATTATAGTTCAACACGATCTAATTATAATTTCTTGTGCTGTACACTTGTGAACTTTAACGTATGTGCATGCATGTATGTTATTCTTCAGAAAAGAAAAAATCAACTTTTTATAGAATGTCATTTTAATAGGAGGAAAGGAAAAATGGAATTGTGGCTCAAACTGGTAAAGCACTAGCTTTGAGCATAGAACCCATGTCCTGAGTTCAAACCCAAGGACTGGCACCAAAAAAAAAAAAGGAGGAGGAGGCTTGGGATGTAGCTCAGCGTAGAGTACTTGTCAAATACACACCAAGTCCTAGGCTCCATCCCCAGGACCAGAAAAAGAAATAAGCAAACAAATGAATGAACTAGCCAATGGCTTCTCAGGTTGAAATACACTAACTTCATATTTGAAATACAACCTCCTTACCTGAAAAGATTACATCCAGACAAATCCATCATAAATAAGTTGAAAATGTATTTAACACACCTAACTTACCCACATCCTGGCTTACTGGTGCAGCACAATGTGGTACTGGTTATTTCCTGTGTGGTCTCAGGATGCTGGAGCTGTGGTCAACATTGCTACTCAGTATCTCAAAAGAAGACTAGATTATATATGCTAGCCCCAAAAGATATCCAAATTTAAAGTTCCAAATACACTTTTTACTAAATATGTACTGCTTGTGTGTCATGAAGTAAAAAAAACAATTAAGCTGTTAAGTGAGGCCATTGTAAGCCAGGAACCACCAGCTTTCTTCCCCTATCCCACTTTGTTTTTGTGTGCCAGTATCGGGGCTTGAACTCAGGGTCTGGGTCCTCTACCACTTGAGTCATAGCTCCACTTCTGGCTGTGTGTGTGTGTGTGTGTGTGTGTATCGGGGCTTGAACTCAGGGTCTGGGTCCTCTACCACTTGAGTCACAGCTGCACTTCTGGCTCTGTGTGTGTGTGTGTGTGTGTGTGTGTGTGTGTGTGTATCAGGGCTTGAACTCAGGGTCTGGGTCCTCTACCACTTGAGTCACAGCTGCACTTCTGGCTCTGTGTGTGTGTGTGTGTGTGTGTGTGTGTGTGTGTGTGTGTATCAGGGCTTGAACTCAGGGTCTGGGTCCTCTACCACTT